AACCGGACCCAGGAAAAGACCGAGAAGACCGTGAGCGATGGTGCCGCCGAGCACACCGATCAGAATGATCAGCATGGGAACATCCAGGCCACGCGACATCAGGATCGGCCGCAACACGTTGTCCACGAGCATGACGGGTACCATGAGGACCGTGAAGGCGAGCGCGGGGACCAGGTCCCAGGAACTCCAGGCCCAGATTATGGTCGGAATGATCACCAGTGCCGGCCCAATCTGAATGATGCACAGGATCAGTGCGGCGAATGTCAGAACGCCGGCAAGAGGAACGCTGAACACGATCAGCAAGACACCCGTCAGAAGTCCCTGAATGACCGCAACGCCGATCACTCCCCGCGAAACGTTGCGGATCGTGGCGCCTGCAAGATCAACAAACTCAGCACCGCGCGGAGCGATGATACGATCGGCAAAGCGTTTGGCTCCTTGCGCGAGACCGGGTCCGGGAACAAACAGGCAGCCTGCAAGGATGATCGAAACGATGAAGAACAGGACACTGCCGCTCAGCGAGGCGAGCATGGACAGGATACGACCACCTGCCGGCACGACCATCGGACCGATCTTCTCGAAGAACAGTTCAAGACTTCGACTGGCAAGGCCCCACAATTCGGACACCCGGTCGCCGACTATCGGAAGCTCTGCCAGCTTTTGGGGTAATGGTGGCAGTTTCAGGCCGTCGCCTGTTATCCCGTGTAACCAGAACTGCAGCGTCTCAACGAGGCTTACCACCAGTACCGCAACGGGGCCGATCACAATGGCCAGGCACACCAGCGTGATCAGGATTGCGGACAGTACCTTTCGGCCGCCAAGCCTGGCCGCAAGCCAGCCATAGGCCGGATAGAGCGCGACCGTAAGCACGACGGCCCAGAGCAGGAACAGAAAAAACGGCGCGATCAGTTGCAGTGAGAAATAGGCAAACAATCCCAATACACCGAGACGAATGGCAACATCGATCACCCTGGCGTCTAGCGTCGTTTCCCGTTTGGCGGTTCCTTCGGCAGTTGGTTCGGATGAAGACTGATCGGTCATGGTGCCCCACCATGTGATTCCCGGTAATTTCCTTCGCGGAAGAATAGCGGCAGGACGCGGGAGTGCCAGAGGAATATGAGGCACGACCTCAGGCACCCGTCAGAGCCCAAACAGTCCTCACTATTACCGGAACACCCGGAAATTCATCAGTCTTTCTTGAAGATGACGCCTGCAAGCCAGCCAGTGAATATCGCCAGGATCACCGCGAGAACACCGTAGACCAGCGGATAGTTCTGGGCGAGTTCAAACGTTACCTGTTCGAAACCGATCTTTGCGACTGCCAGTGTCTGCTCGGTCTGTGAAACCAGATCCCCCCGGTTGAACAGGAAGCTCTTGATCTTGTAGTCGCCGACAGGGATGTTTGCCGGGAGGGGAATATTGGTGCGGAACATCGTATCCGTCAGAAACTCGATCGAGGTTTCCCGCTCCGAATAAAGATCCGATTCCTCGCGAAGCCTTACAAAGGCCTTGCGAAAATCATCGCGGTCCGACAGCGGAACGTTGGAAACCCCGGAGACTGCCAGATTTAGGTGATTGAGCCCTATGCGGTATTCGTCCAGCACGTTCCGGTGAGCGATGTCGCCGATATCTGCCGTGCTCGCAACCGCATAAAAAGACGGTACATTCTGAAACCGTTCCGCCTCGCGGTTGACCCAGACACCCAGAAAGCGACCCTTGCGCCGCGTCGTGATGTCCTGCGGCGGTCCCTCGACGACAATCGCGAGCTCAAAATCGCCGGCGGCGTGCGGTGCTCTTTCTATGTCGCTGGCCTGACCGAAAATGACAATTTCGGTGCCGGTGAAGTTCGACTGGATCGAGACCGTGTCGGAGGAAAGCGCCGTGACCAGATCCTTGGAAGAGGCCTCTTCCTGCGCGAGCGAGAGTGACGCTCCGAAGACGGCAAAGGCAAGACAGAGAGCAAACCGGATCATGCGCCCGCCCCCTTGCGAATTGCGATCGAGTAGAAGTCCTCGGGGACCAGCAGGAGGTCGACCGCGAAGCGCAATCCGACGCCCATAACCAGCAATGCCAGTAGAAGACGCAACTGGTCGCCGCGCAGGTTCTGACCCATTCTTGCACCGAATTGCGCGCCGATGACACCGCCGATCATCAGCGTCATCGCGAGAACAATGTCGACGGTCTTTGTCCCCATCGAGTGAAAAATGGTCGCCGCAGCCATGGTGAAGAGGATCTGGAACAGCGAGGTGCCGATCACGATATTTGTCGGCACCCGCAGAAGGTAGATCAGCGCTGGAACCATCATGAAGCCACCACCGATACCCAGGATCGTCCCTAGGAAACCGATTATGGCGCCAAGACCAACCATTGTGAATACCACCAATTCAACCTGCCTTGGCAGAAGCTCAAAAAAGCCCCCGGGCCCCTGGGCCGTGTGGGGAATTTGGATGGGATTTGGTTCAGGAGCTCCTCGAGGCTGACTTGGCGCGGAAGAGCGCGAGGAGCTTCCGGGGCAGCGTGGAGACCTTCCGCAAGCAGCACCTCGAGGCCTTCCGGCCCGCAGTCCTGCGGCAGTCTGCGCAGGCGTGGACGGGGCATATGGCAAACATGAAAAATCGCGCATCGGAAAAGACGCGAGCACAGCAAGTAAGGAAGTTAGGCAGTCGCTGAGCTAGCTGAGCTAGCTAAGTTAGCAAGTTAGCAAGTGAGTGAGTGAGTGAGTGAGTGAGTGGAGTGAGTGAGTGAGTGAGTGAGTGAGTGAGTGAGTGAGTGAGTGAGTGAGTGAGTGAGTGAGTGAGTGAGTGAGTGAGTGAGTGAGTGAGTGAGTGAGTGCAGCGGCAGCTGTAATGTATTTTGGCCTGGTTGCACTTATGCTGTCAGAGAGCGGTGCTGGGAGTGATTGGTTTTTCTCATTGGCTGCAGTTTGCAGAAGGGCAGTGGCAATCCGCCAGCCGTGAGTTTGGGACCGGGCCAAGCCTACCTAAAACGAAGGCGCCGCCCTTGACGAGAAGTTGTTGTGCAGAGGCCCAGTTCTTTCAGGTGGGCCCAGAAAGAATCCAGGCACTTGGCTTGCAAATTCCTTCATATCTCTTCCACAGGGGTGGCCTGCAATGGAGAAGTGGGACTTTGAGTTCTTCGCCAAACACTGCGGCGACATCGAGGTGGAGGCCACGCTGCGCCAGGGCAAGCGCCAAAAGCTGCTGCTCAGGGACTATCTGAACGATTGCAAGCTGCAAGCAGGCGGCCACGTGTTTCCATGGGCCGTACCGTCCGCATCGTGCTTTTTATTTGAAGAAAGTTGTAAGGAGGTTTCCCTGGAAGCCCCGGCTGTTCCTTCTTCTCATGACCGACGCAGTAGCAATTGGCTCAGGGTGCCAACCTAATGATTGCAAGACGCAGATGTTTGAACCACTGTTTGATTCTACTTTCTCCAGTGGTGTGCACCATGCAATGCTATCTTGGTGTTTCCCAGCCATACCCTTAGACTGTCAGACTTTTCGAGTTTAGAGTTGCTTACGACGTATCGATCAGCCCAGCTACCAAGATATGACAGATGGGTTTGTGCCATTGGTTCATTTGCAAGCGAGTGCCATTTGTCATCATGTGCCCCAGGTGGCGATGAGTTGCCGTACTTGAGGGGCTGGTACTATCAGAGGGATGCCCCGTGGCTCCAAAAGGACCTGTGGGAGAAGGGCGACTTTCATGATGTGGCCTTTCAGGCAGGGCGGGGTCGGAATCGGCAGGTTTGGGCCCTAGTCTCTGCTTGAGGGGCACGTGCAGGATTGGACATGACAACTGTGCAAACATAGCCAGGATTGGTTCAAACGCCTTCCTGCCCGCCATCATCCGGATTTCCACTGGCTTTTCATTGGCGCCGCAGGGGCAATCACTCCGCTTCACATCGACCCGTCTGCCACGCACGCGTGGCTCTCACAGATATCGGGGCGGAAGCGCTTTACTCTTTTTGCACCCAGTGACTTGCCCGAGCTGCTCAGCGAGAGCGGCGGCTTCAAACCTATTGCGGACATCCCTGTCAAGCGTCAGGCAGGTTTCTTTTTCCCCAGATAGCAAGCTATAGGGGTTCTGACTTCTAGTAAAGAGCGGAACGTAATTTGCGAGATTGATGGGGTGCTGGTGCGGGTGTTGCTTTGGGGTGCTGTTGGGGTGCTGTTTGGGGTGCTGTTTGGTGTTGGTGCGCGCACGTTTGTTTGGTGTGGTGCAGGTGCTGTTGGAGGTACTTGGCCGGGTGCTAAGCAGTTTGGGGTGCTGGTGCAGGTTTTGTTGGAGGTAGTTATGACCCGGGTGCTAGGGGGCATGCAGTTTGGGGTGCTGGTGCAGGTGCTGTTTTGGGGTCGCTGGTGCAGGTACAGTCAGACGCTGGTGACGGTGGGGCTAGGGGGCATGGGGGTGCTGGCAGGCTGTTTGTTGCAGGAAGCCCTCGATCAAATTCTGCCCTTTTTCAATTTGTCCCTTCGACCTGCGCCAAACTTCAAGCACCTATGCTGGCCACAAAAATGGAGCAACCAAAAACACTTAAGGTTTTCGGACTTTCAATTCCACATCAGGAAGCCTCTCAATTCTGCACACAGAAGTGTCCCTGAAGTTAGTATGATTTGGCCAACGAGCAGTGTGCAATCCTCGACCTGTTTTGTGCTATTTGGGATCTATGCTGGTGTAATTTGAACTTTGCAGGGAGTTTAGGAGGCTGAGGCTGTTTTGCTCTCCAGCCATTTTTCATCTCTTTCTTCAGTTGTCCTTTGCCAGGAGATAGTTCTGGAGCCCGGCGACACGATCTTTGTGCCGGCGCATTGGGCTCACCAGGTGGAGTGCCTGGATGATTCAATTTCAGTGACATGGAACTTCCTCGGGGAGAGCTTGTTTCCGACGGTGCGTGCAGCTTTCCTGGCAAATGCGGCGAAGCCTGCCTATGAGCCGGAGCTGTGACGCGGGGGATATGAGTTGGCTTCACCAGCTGGGCAAATGGCTCAGGTGTCTAACCTTTTCAAGCTGCCGCAAAGGCAAATTTGAGAAGTCTTGACTTGTGTAGCAAGCTCTCGTTCAGGTGGATTTTTGGTCCAGCCCAGGCGTGGTCAGCGAAATAGCAGGTGTAGCTGGACAGCTGTGGCCCAAAAGCTTGCACGAGGAGACAAACAAGAGGATAGGGACAACCCTGCTTCACCAGCCGCGATTTGCCCAAAGCCCTGTGCCTTGCCACCCCTCATGCATCCTGCTGTGTGATTCAGTCCGTACGACTTGTGCTGAGCGTCCATCCTGTGTGTACCAATAATATCTGTATGTCCTTCGCCTGCGCCGAGGCACAGGATATAAGGCAATGGCGGCGGGTGCTGCCGCAGTGGCAGGCCGGCGGCTTTGGTATGTGAGACTGGTCGCAAGGGCCGCTGGGGGTCCCAGGGATGGATAGAGGCGGAGTGCTTCCTTGAAGTTTCCGCATGCCGCCTTGTGGCCTTTGTATGTTTCTCTGGCTTGTTGAACAGTAGCGAGACCCTGCTGGGCGGCAGGAGGCATGTCCTTCGCAGTGGCGCCGGGTGCTGCGTCCCTAGCGCTCTTGCATCATTTTGCAGGACCCCTGCTTTGAGGTGAAGACTTGGTTCATCATTGCCATTGGGTGTTCTAGCAACAAATTGTTGAGCAACAGAGAGGCCTTTGGGGTTGGGAATGGACCGAGACTTGGGTCTTACCGAGGTGGCGCAGCCTGCGAGTCGTACGCAGGGCGCTCGTGCCCAGAGCACGCAAAACACGCGGAGCGCGAGGGCCTCGGAGCCGCACGGCGTGCCCGTGCAACGAGAACCGCGGCCAACATGTCAGACCAGAAAAATGCAGAATCGGGCTATGTAGCTTGAATCAACACCTTGTCATCGGCTGCACGGCGTCTCTCTTGGAACCATCCCGCGCCGCTCTGAGGGCGCCAGTTCCTTGGCGGCCCCCGCCGTCGCGGCGGCCATGGGCGCTTGCGCCGCACGACGGGCGCAGCGGGCGCAAAAGCCGAGGCGCGGGGCTGGGAGGCGACGGTGGTAGGAGGTTAGGCGAAGGCGATGCCGCCGACACATCGAAGTTCGGGATTGTTGAAAAGAGGGCAGCGGGGCAGCGGTGTGTGGGTGCGTGTGTGACTCATGACTGAAGTCAGCGAGTTCATATTATGTTGAGTCTTGCGCCAAATTCAAGCACAAAGCCACATCTGACAAGTGAAGCGGTAATATGGTGGTTCAGGACTGCCACGCGGGTTGTCCAAGAGTTCGAGGACGTGTGCGAGCAGACTGGGGTGACTCTTAGCCGCTGCTCATCTGCATTGAAGAGCTACTAACGGGTTGAAATTAAGCCGACAATTCGCTGTCAGGCTCTTTTTAATCTGGCTGTTCCGCCAGCATGCGCTGTTCAACCACGAAAAGCCCTTCTTTGGATGCAAGTGCAAGAGCCTGGCATGCCACAGCACATCCAATCAACATGATGTTTCCAGTGAATAAACAAGGCTGGAGGGCCAAGGCTTTTTTTGTTCTGTCCATTCGTGCGCGAGCGGATTTGCTCACAGTCTATCTTCCAGTCCAGGGGCTCTCTCGTTGCCAGGCAGAAAGGGCCACTATCCCCAAACCTTCACTGTGCATACTTTGCGCTCAGGCTACTGCATCGAGCTCGCCAACCGCGGAATCATCGATTCGGATTTGGACTCCATCTTCAACTCGATCCGCGAGGCCAGACTTTCTCCACAAGTCTGTCCAATCCTGTGCTGACTTGCTGGTGCAGGCTGCCAAGGTGATCAGCAAGCTGGTCAACACTGCTCCGCTGAAGCAGGAGGGGCAGACCTGGATGTGGAAGAGTTTTCAGCGTGTAAAGTAAGGAAAGAAGGCAAGGCCGAAGACTTGTGCATGGAAGGGTGGTGCTTTGGGAGCTTAAGCCAAACGCAGTACAGTTGATGCTCGGCAGAAAGAAAGCTGCCGAGCAGGGCAAGAGCCGTGCGCGCCAGGCGGAGCTTTTGGGACTGGAGGGCGAAGTCAACGTTCAAGGGGAGGACCAGAAAAAGCTGGATGCCAGTATCTCGGTGCTTGGCGGGGCCGGCAGCGTGGATCCTGGGGCTGGGTTCTGCCGATGCAGCAGGATGATGCCTGGTGAATCCCTGCAAGAGCACTGGGAATGCTCCGACGTTACATGAGCGGCTGCACAACTCAGGTCATCACCAACGATGTGTTCAAGAACGCGTTGCGCTACACAGGCCGCCCCCCTGTATAATCTTTTATATGACAGCCGGGGCGGTCGAGCCTGCTGACTCCGTCATTATGGGGCACATGTTGGCGGCAGAAGCAACGCGTTATTTACATCATTATACCGCACATGTGTCATAATTTGGTCGTGGGCGGGCAGCCACTCATTGGCTTTCTACTTGCTACTTGTCAGGGGTATCCATTTCGGTGCATTTGTGCCTAGATGGTGCCAGCTGTCAGGCAAACTGGGGACATTGGCTTCCGAGGAGGAGGACGAGCCAGTGGATGCCTCCTGGCCACCCGGCAAAATTCCCTTGATCATGTTCGAGTTTCCGCGGCCGCGCGATGCGGCTTAATTCGATTGGTCCTCAAGTGGCCAGCTAGACATGCACAATGTGATGTCTAGGCTTTGGTGAGGCAAGCCCTGACAAGATTTAACATAAAGGCAGTGAGTTGTTGGCGACCGTCAGCACGAATTGCCAAGGATGGGGACTGGAGAAACGGAAGCTATCCCAGTGCTCTCAGAGGCAGAATCGGGTGGGCCGCAAGTTTACCCGCTTGAAATGACCAAGCGGACGTGTGTTTTGCTGGTATCGTCATGGTTGCCTGGGCACACGCATTCAAAGATCTTAGACGCATTCCGCGCGATTTTCTTCAAGCCCAAGCCCGGAAAATGGGTTTGCTGACCACAACGCTTGCATCAGCATGGTAGTGGCCCCGGCCCCTTTCTATTAATCATTGTAGCCTTGCAACCCTCAACATGGGCAAGCCGCTGCATCCCAGCAAAGCTCTTGACCTGCCTCTTTTGGCAAGCAGGAGTTTGCCGACACTGGCAAGTACATCTGTGTCTTCGATCCCTTGGATGGCAGCAGCAGCTCTGATTGACTGGGCTGCTTTTCTCGCATTCCGCTTTCGGCCCTGCTGGCATACATGAAAAATAAGTTAGCTTTGAACATCCCTCCTAGGATGGCGGAATCAGGTTCGACGGGGGAAATTGGCTTCGGACGGCATGATTGCCTCCGCTTGGCTTTAGAGGTTGCCCACATCTGCAAGGCAACGTCGATGCGGGCATTCCTGTGGGCACCATCTTTGGAGTTTTCGAGGAGCCTACTAGGGCTGCGGCAGCATCGATCATAGGCCCAGCACTTGCACACGTTGGAACTGGTGGATCCATGCCAGAGTTTCAGCCAAGAAGCAATTTTGGGAGGAGAGCATGCGCAGGTCCAAGGAACCGACCTAGGCAGTAGCTTGATGGTTGTTGATCTGCTTCTGCTAGTGGCTTTAGTCAATTCGTGGGATGAACAATTATGGCAGAAGGCCGGCCCAAAGCTATCTCTCCCAGCAATACACAGAAGGCCCAACATTTTCATGTAAAGTTGTCTTTGAGCCACTGTTAGGAGCCGGACCCTGCGGAGTGTGAGCTGCCAGCGGATCTTTCCAAGGGCCTCTCCGAGGAGCAGCAGAAGCGCGGAGCCCACGTTGGATTCGGCTTGACTCGTGTGCATACACGTCGTACACGTGGTGTTTGTGTTAATTCAGGGGATGGAGCCAGGTGCTTGGCTGGAACATTGCAGCCTGGCAAGGCGGCGAGAGAGTTGCCACAGGTCTAGGTCAGACATAGCTGAAAGATGTCGATCACCGTGCGATTAATTTCGAAAGTGAAGACCGGGTCAGTTCTTGAAGCGCTCAATTTGAAGTTGGGCCGAGGGTTGCTTTGCTGTGACTTCTTCTCAGATTTCCGTGCTTTGCAGTCCCTGGTGGCTGCGGGCTATGTGCTCTACTCTGCCTCCACCGAGCTGGTGCTGACCTTCGGCAAGGGCGTCGTTGGCTTCACTTTGGACACAAGTCGCTTGGCCCAGCTGAGTTGTCTGCGCCAAAAAAGCGTTGGAGGGGTGATGATTGGGTGTCATTTTGTGCCATTTATCACAGGGGCGCGCGCTTTCCCAAGGCATTGGGGAGTTCGTCATGACCCGGCCTTCGCAACCTGGCTTCGTCGGTTGTGCCGCTGTTGCTCGGGCGTGAACAGATGGCTCTTTGCCTCAGCCTGGGGTGGTCGAAGCAGCTTTGCACAGTAGCTTCCACGGTTCCACCGGATTTTCCCGAGGTGCCTCATTAGGATGCAAAACAACCCAGGGCAGAGTCACCAGTTTTAATGCATCAACCTCGCCAGACTGATATGACAAGTTTCATGTTTTGCTGAACCTTCAGAACTAGGCTTGACCATGAAGCGAGTAATATGCTTTGCCTGCAGCAGTATGGGCGGAAGTTCTTGCTTCTTTGACGCCGCACATGCCGGAACAGCAGCTATGGGCAGAGCCATGCAAGGATCAAGATCCCATCCCGTGGCAAAATCTACTCCGCCAACACCGGCAATATCGCCGAAGCTTGGCGCAGATGACAAGTGGCATATGACTGGTATTTTTGCACCGCTGGCGCCTGACCGGAAGACGGCAATGATGATTCATATAAGGAGTGGGATGAGCCCATGAGGCAGTACATTGAAGACATCCGCGCGGGCAAAGGCGTGCAAAACAAGAAAAGCATTTGGCTGGGGTGCGGCATGAGAATATCTTCAAGAAACCTGCATATGTTGGGTGAGGTTCCTTGCAAGTTGATCGCAATGGCACACGTTATTCCAAGTTTGGATCCGCTTTGTAATTTGTTCAGGTGAGTCTGGCAAGCCGTACTCGCTGCGCTACATCGGCTCCATGGCAACTCAGCCGCAGAGCAGGGCATTGCACAGACTTCCGCCATGCCCTGCCAGCTTGGAGAAATACGTTTTGCAGCTTGCGATTGAATTTACCTTCCCTGGCAGGTGGGAGACATTCACCGCACGCTGCTCTATGGCGGCATTTTTGCTTACCCCGCGGACACCAAGAACCAGGCGGGGGTTTTGGAAGGCGTGTTCCATTGAGGCAGCTTGGGCTTATTTAGGAAACCTTAGGAAACGTGGATGGAGGTGGTTTGCATGCTTTTGCTTTACTGGGGTTCTTGCCGTCAGGATGGCAAGCTCCGGCTGCTCTACGAAGGTGCCCCCATGTCTTTCATCATGGAGCAGGCTGGCGGCAAGGCCGGGCCAAATGACAAACCTACACTGATTTGGGAAGGACAGCAAAGACACATTTTGGCATCGGTGTGTGCATGTGCGGTCCGATCTTGTTCCTTTGCGCAGGTGAGCCATTGGAATGCCGCTGTCATGTTGGTAGGAATTGCCCAGCGTTTTGCCAGCACCTGCGGAGGCCATCACCGGACACAGCAGGGTGCTGGACATTCCCCCAGCTGCTTGGATTTGATTCGGGCTCAATCCAATGTGTCCAATCGCGAGTGTCATTTCTTTGCTTGAAGTTAGTTGGCACTCCACCAAAGCTGCGGAAAAGGACGCATACATGATTCACTTCAAAGCGAAATTGGGAATCGCTTTCAAGCAAGTGTGCTGTGGCGGTTGCGTTCGTTTGTTTTGGAAGCCTACTGTTGTGGTCCCCACCCTTCCCGGAGGGGTCGGTGGATAGCCACTGTAGGAGTTGTTAGGGAGGCTGGGAATTCCCAAGTTTGGCTTCATAGGCTCTTCAGTTTGTATTTGTAGCTGAGGGGCGCAACATGGTTGGCATCTCACTGATTGTGTCAACTGCGTGCACCAAGGTGTTTGTGCACCAGCGCATTCCAGTCATCCTGGGATCCGCAGATGATGTGGATGAGCCGCTGGCCAAGGTTCGACCATCCCTTGACATGTTGACTCTTTGCTATTTTACCCATCGGTGCATACCTGTTTGTTAGAGATGTGCTAAAGCCAGACAAATGTTATTGTCTCTGGACCTCTTTTGCCCTCGTTGGCTGACAAAGCATTCCTTGAAGCTTTCCCAAGGTGCGGGAAGTATTATGACAAGAGCGATGACCCTGCGCTCAAGGCACGCCCATGGCGCTCCTCGGAAGTCAGCCATAAGCGCTAATCTTCCACAGCATATATCACTCATATATCTAATCCATAGCGAAGCCTTGAAGCTACGCTGAAAGATCCATCAGAGGTCTTTGCCCCTCCAAGAATCACAGCATGCGTCATGCTTTGGGCCCCCTTAGAATCAGAGCACAGGCGCGATGCGAGAACAGGCTCAAGGGCATGGTCAACGCGTAGGCGGGAGGACAGAGGCAGCCTAAGCGTGCATCAGAGGGGTTTGCTTCCTTTCTTGGGGCAACGCACAGATGCTTCGCTCTCAGTTTTCAAAGTTTGTGAAGCCACATTTGTTGGACAAGTTCGCCTTGAGGATGTGCTCGGATGTGTGTAATTGCAACCCTGCCGAGGCTGGCACCTGACGCGATCCGCTAAATAGCGAAACTTGTCACGAACGGTGGCCTTGATTTGATGAAGCACCTCGAACAAGTCAGGCGAAAAGGCAAAGGACTAGTGTGCCACTCGTTTGTGACAACACTACATCTCGATTCCCTTTTTTCCGGCTTTTGAATAGCTGAAGATTTGGATTGGCTGTAGGGCATTCTTAGGAACACGTCCAGATGTGTCTTACTTGACTCTTGCCTTAGTCTGATTTTCCTATCTTATCAGCTCGCTTGCGTAAAAAGAACGGCCGCTTGGTGCCAAGCTTTTCGGCCTTCAAGTGCAGGGTGGCATGCTCGCGGTTTTTGCAAAAGACGCTGGCATGTGCATCATGGAGTAGCACTGTGTTTGTCTGTGTCTGTGTGTGCGCACTTTTGTTCGTGCGCATGCGCGCGTGCGCGTTCGCATGCGCCCGCGTTCGTTCGTGAGTGCCACGCGCGTGCACGTTCGTGCTTGCGTGCGTTCGTTCGTTCGTGCGCGTATACGTGTGCGTGTGCGTGTGCGCGAGCGTGCGTGCGTGCGCGTGCGCGTGGGCGTGTGCGTGGGCGTGGGCGTGTGCGTGTGCGTGTGCGTGTGCGTGTGGGTGTGTGTGTGTGTGGGTGTGCGTGTGCGTGTGCGTGTGCGTGTGTCTGTGTGTGTGTGTGTGTGTGTGTCTGTGTCTGTGTCTGTGTCTGTGTCTGTGTCTGTGTCTGTGTCTGTGTCTGTGTCTGTGTCTGTGTCTGTGTCTGTGTCTGTGTCTGTGTCTGTGTCTGTGTGTTTGTCTGTCTGTCTGTCTGTCTGTGTGTGTGTGTTTGTGTTTGTGTTTGTTTTCGTGTTCGTGTTTGTGTGTTTGTGTTTGTGTCTGTGTCTGTGTCTGTGTCTGTGTCTGTGTCTCTGTCTGTGTCTGTGTCTCTGTCTGTGTCTGTGTCTGTGGCTGTGGCTGTGGCTGTGGCTGTGGCTGTGGCTGTGTCTGTGTCTGTGGCTGTGGCTGTGGCTGTGGCTATGGCTGTGGCTGTGGCTGTGTCTGTGTCTGTGTCTGTGTCTGTGTCTGTGTCTTTGTCTGTGTCTGTGTCTGTGTCTGTGTCTGTGTCTGTGTCTGTGTCTGTGGTTGTGTCTGTGTCTGTGTCTGTGTCTGTGTCTGTGTCTGTGTCTGTGCCTGTGTCTGTGTCTGTGTCTGTGTCTGTGTCTGTGTCTGTGTCTGTGTCCGTGTCCGTGTCTGTGTCTGTGTCTGTGTCTGTGGCTGTGTCTGTGGCTGTGGCTGTGCCTGTGCCTGTGTCTGTGTCTGTGTCTTTATCTGTCTCTGTGTCTGTGTCTGTGTCTGTGTCTGTGTCTGTGTGTTTGTGTTTGTGTTTGTTTTTGTGCTTGTGTTTGTGTTTGTGTTTGTTTTTGTGTTTGTGTGTGTGCGTGTGTGTGTGTGTGGGTGTGGGTAGGTGCATGTGCATGTGCGTGCATGCATGTGAGGGAGGGAAATCACGAGAGTGGGTGAACTAGGCAGGGAGGGAGGTAGATGGGTAGGTGTGAAGTGAAGGAGGGAGGCAAAAAGCTATTACCCGTTCACCTGAGCATCAAATAAAAGCAACTTCCAGAAAAAGGTGACCTGCAGATACGAGAGCGCTAGAGGAGCGGAATGGCAGTTTGTAGCGTGAGTGCAGTTGCAAAAGATCCTGGCGTGTGAAGTTCAGGGCAACAACACGTGCAACAATCTTACTTCAAGTATGCTGGAAGAGTTTCCTGTGTTTGTGCGGGCTTTAGCTGGATACTGTACCTGCCAGTCGCTTCTCGAATCAAGGTGACCGTGGTGGTTAGGCAGGCTCAAGCCGGGTGCGAATGCCGCGCCATGCCTACAAGGCAATGTGGGCTGGCAGGGAGTGGGGCTTGTTTTTTTCCACACGCTCGCCCAGCTTGCCAGCACACTTCTTCGCAGTTAAAAAAATGTCAGGGCAGCTGGCGCATGAGGGTCATCCATGCATCATGCAAATTTGTTTGCCCTTAGCGGAGCTCATTGCGTAATTCAAGTGCAACTCGACACGCTCACAGGATGCCATGGAACCACTCCAAGACTACAGGCAATTTCCGGTATTTGACACAAACCAACTGGTCCCGATTGGGAGCAGGGTGCTGGCTCCCGGGTGCGTGTCCTTCATTGGGAATGCGAGTCGGGTTGGGATTGCACCTTGAGCAGTTGAGAGGTACGCAGCTGCCAGTCTCAAAGGCACAGTGCGTGCCTCATCAACAGAAATGATGCCAATGGGTAGGGTAAGCCTAGCGGTGACAAAATCTTTGCACTCAGAGCAGACCTGGTGGTAAGTCTTGTCATCAGATGCAGTACCTAATCAAAGTTGGTTTCAAGATCTGTGTTCCACTTGGAATGGCGCGTGCTGCCTTCCTCCCTGCCGCGGCAGCGGCGGTGGCAGTTCTTGCCTGGTGGCATTCTCGTCGAAGGCAGAAGAAGCCATACACGTCCATTGAAGCTGCAGAGGACCCAGAGGTAGTGGGTGCCATATTGCCCGATGCCTACGAGGGCACACGCCTTGCCACGGCGCGCCATGCATTCTGCGTGGCCCATTCCTCTCCGCTAAGTGATGCAGTGCAGCAAGTGGCAGACCGGACGCAGAAGCTGCGGATGCCTCAAATGCTCAGTAGCCCCCTCACAGTGCAGCTGTTGCAGTCAATAATCCGGGCCTCGCAGGCCACACGCGTCCTTGAGATCGGCACCTATACAGGCTTCACGGCTATTGGTATGGCGGAGGCCTTGCCACCCGGAGGCACCGTGGTTTGCTTGGACGATTTCTCAGATGAGCCCGACGCCCAGACGGTTTGCGAAGAGGCCATCGCCAGCAGTGCCGTGAGTGGCCGCATCCAGCTGCGCGTGCAGCAGGCCTTGCGGGGGCTTAAGCAGCTGGCAGATGAAGGTGCAGGTCCCTTTGACATTTGTTTCATTGACGCGGACAAGGAAAACCAAATAGCTTATGTGGAACTCTTAGACGATGCAGCGCTCCTGAAGCCCGGTGCCTCCGTGCTGGTTGACAACACCCTTTGGTACTCGCGCGTCTTAAGGCCGAGTGACAAGCATGACAAAGCCACAGCAGCCATAGCAGAGTTCAACAAACATGTCCTGGGTGGGCGCTGGCACGTAGCCATGCTGCCAATCAGGGATGGAATCACCATATTGCAGAGGGTGGCGCCTGCGCCTTAATCTCACCAAACTGCCTGCGATGCTTTCTGCGCCCTGATGAAGTTGCTAGCCTTGGATAGCACAGCCGTCGGACAGGCAGAAGTGGCATTTTTACCTCTTTGCCTCGACAGCCACTGCGATTTGTCCGAAAAGAGGGGTCCACAAAAATCGGGTTTCACTTTTGTGGACACTCTTGGCCTTTGTACCATGTCATCACCACATGCCACGGCCATGGGTCATCCAACGCTCCGGCGCATGTCTTGCACAGGGGCGATCTCCCTGTCAAGGCACTAGGTTGAAGACGATCTCTTGTGGATAGAGACGCGCTTGTCACAAAGCGCGGCCACTATAGCCGCAAGTCGGTTTTTGCTTTGATGACAGGCCGCGCAATGCCTCTCCCAATCCTGCGGCCCGGAAAGGCGCACGGGATGAGGCAGGACGTGTGGCGAGATTGGTGAGTTTGGTCAGGTCTGCAAAGAACTCATCGAATAGGTTTCAGGTTTCAAGTTCCAGTTTTACTTGTAGGGTACATTCGCAGCCTGGCCCTTTGCCAACTTGCGGCACAGGCGCAGCGAACCGATGGTGTGGCTCCCCGGCAGTGTACTGACGTGGGCTGCTGCTTGTGCTTCGTCCTTTTCCTGGCACTGACTCTTCAAGGCTGATGTTGCAGCAAGCTGTGCAGGGGTGCTTTCATTCTGTTCCGTTTTTTGTTTTGGGAGAGTGCTTGTGTGCAGTAACCTGTACCTACAATGCGTACTATGCTTGATACCGCCCTTGCCTTCAAGTATTCAAGCATTCTGACTCAGCCTGCTGCAACGATGCCTTTGTCTGACCGACCTTGAACAGCCAATGACGGGTGACATCAGAACGAGCCAAGCTGAAGCGATCCCAAGGGCGTGAGCATGTTGTCGCCGTGATATCGCGAAGGACTCCTCGGCCCACCGGACTTCCAGAAGCTTTCGCGCGGCATTGACCACCGCGGACGCATTTGCGGCTGGAGCCCTGGAGCCTTGGCAGCTCGAGCCGGAATGTCGAAAGGGCTGGGCCGTGGGCGCCGTGAAGCTCTCAGACTGGTGTGCCAAGGAGCTGAGGAGCAGAGCTTTCTGTACTGGTGCGTGGCCAGGACTTGCAGTGCAGGCCTTGTGCATTTTGGTAATCTGACACGCTACGACATGATCTGAATTGAAACTTTGCATGGGCCGCGCCAACCCAAGGGCAGAAGAGGGGCCATGCCTTCAAGATTGCAGTAGCTCGCTTTTGGAGTCTCAAGGGCTGTGCTGTCGGGGGGGGGGGGGTTGGGTGATCCAAGACGTCAATCTATTGAATGGCTCGGAAGGTTGTGCCCTGTTTGAAGTTTCCACTGCTGTGATTCTTTCAACCGATATGTTTCAGGGCAAATCGTGGCGGCAGGACGGATGGCGTAACTCTGAACCTCACTTCGGCCATTTGCATGAACGAGTGCCCACAGGAAGGCACCACTGTTCTTTGCCCGGGCAACTTGGACATCTCAGAGACGGAGGAGGTAAGAGGCGCGGCATGCATCCCGGGACCCACGCAAGCCCTCTCTTGAAAAAGCATGAACACATATGAACACGCAAACTATTGGTATTGGGCAGAATTGCCAGCTTCCCAGATGCGTTGGGCAGCTGTCGAGGTGCAAGCATCTTGCTGGTGCGCACAGAGAAGCAGCTATTGTCTCCGCAGAAGGCAGTGCAGTTTGTTTGGCCGCTGACAGCGCGTTTGCCTGGCGGTTTCAGTTCGAACCAGCCCTTCTTTTTTTTATGTAGGGCTCATGGGCTTCGCGGGAAGGCAGCAGCGACGAAGACCTGGATCGATCGATACTGCGTCCCCACTGTGCAGATCGGCGACGCGTTGTTGGCTGGAACCCCGCTGATGGGGAAAGTGGGCTCAGGCGCTGGCACAGGGATGTGCTTGGGGCTGGTGAGAAAGCCTACATATCCTTGAGGCGCAACGGACGTGAACCGGGCATCATTTGGAGGCTGAAAGTATGCTTTCGATTTTACATGCTTGATGTTGTTCAGCATTTCCACATAAGGCATTCAGCAGCACTGCATTTCCTTGGCAGTGGCAATCCTCGGGCCAGCTTTTCACCAACACTGGTCACACTAGCTGGGCGTCATCTAGCTGTCACCGTTGAACATCGTGAGGCAGTCACCAAGGTAGGAACCGTGGCAATAACTCTGATTGCAGCAAGCCCGAGCTGATTGCCTTGTGCAAAATCAGAGGCTTCCAATGAATCTGGCTGTGGCTGCTTGTTGAAATTGCGACCCCGCGAAACGTGGGGTTTGAAGGAAACCGATGACAACTAGACCAGTTTGTAGCCAGCCTTAGTTCTTGGCAAACCCTTTGTTGTTTAAGTTGCTCTGACTGATAATGTCAAAAAGACCAGTCCTTAACAAGAACCGCCCCAAAATAGATGAGTACCTACCCACCTCTGATGTGGCGCTTGATGATCTCAACCGAACAAAGGGCGGGTGTGTTTGCCACATTGGCTCAGGTTCATTTTGTTGCCCCATCATCCAGAAACCAGCTACAGGATCACCTTCTAGAGATTCAGTCATCAATGTGGTTCCCTGCAAGACGACAGGAAATCTCTGACCCTCGTTAGCTCCATAAACCTCGCTCCGTGAGTATGAACAAACAAACGCCAAGCAGCTCTCTTTTGCAAAAGAGAGCACGACAAAAGAATTGCCCAAAGAACTTTGCTACCCTCATGCTTGTTGATCACAGACCTTCGGCTCTTCCTGCTGGATGGCTTCCATTGGGTGAGCAACATCCTATTGACCTGACAGGTGCCGTGACCGAGGGCTTCCTTAGCGTCTTTGACCAGCTGTCCAGCCTGGCAGCTGCACCGCGGCTGCTGACTGCGGCAGCCGTTTGCACACTTGTGCTTAGCTTGGGCTATCTGCTGTGCCTCAGATTTTTCGCCCCTTGGTCGCCACAAAGGGGCTGAGAGGAGAGAGCAGCAGCAGCCCCAAAGTGGTTGCCCGCTACACACCCGCGTCATGGCCAGCGTCATGGCCAGTACCTCACCAGCTTTCAGGACCAGTCCCACCTTTTTGCAGAGAATGGGGTCGAGGATTTACAATCAAATCTTATTTATTACGAAATGAAGATCTTTCACGTGGACGGTGCTTCTGGTAGCTTTCGCAAGCAACCAACGGCACACTGACCACTTGGAAGGCCACATTGTGGCGCATCCAGGTGCCTTCTTTGTCTTTTGCTGTGTTGCGGACCTCAACAACTTGTTGGTCAAATTGCATGTGCTTTCGCTGGAAGTAAGCCCCAGGAAAGGGGAAAGAGTGGAATACTTTGGGAAGACATTCCTTTGTGGCATTAGGCCCTTCTCTTCCTGCGCCTCGCAGTGCTTGGCTCCGTGCTGGTGTGTTCTATCCTATGCGCCGGGCTGGCTGTGGCGATGACCTCGCCCAGGTGGATGGATGGATTTATGCCCGGAGAAGGCACGGCCTTTTGAACGCGTTAGGAGGGGGGTTGCCACTGCCAATTTGATTTGCTGGCAAACCAAGGGTTCAAAGGCCCAAAGGGAAGCCTCAAACTAATTTGCTTTTTTGGGCAACTGTTAACTGTTATCAAACTTGTCGAGCCACTTGATGCCAAGTGTTTTGTGCTCCCCTCTCTCCGTGCACTCACCGTTCGGCAGGCCAGTGGGCTTTTCTGGTCAGCTCTGGTCTTGCGGGTCCCTGGGGCACCTCGGACTGTTGTTGAGTCCCAAACAGAGGTAATGATTGGCCAGAAGCGAAGGTTTTAGCAAAGGCTGTACATCTGGAGGTGCCAGAAGGACGTTAGCTGTGCACAGTCAGGGGTGGAGGCTCCCTCAATAAGGACCCATCCCCGTTGCATCCGAGCCGAGTGCGGGCCATTGCGGCTGCTGCTGCGACGGCCGGGCTGTTGCTGGCCGGAGCGCTTCTGGCAGGACTGGGAGAATTGATTTGCTGGACAGCCACGGCCTTGAGCTGCCAATCCATGAAATTCTGCCCAACGTCAAGTCAAGTGCAAGTAAGAAACTGGGCGCGGGGCACCTGGTCCAAAGGTGGAAGCAATCAACAGAGCCGCTTTCAGCATTTGGCATATCAGCCCAACTCACACAAGTACCAACAGCGTACCCTTTGCTCAGAAAGAAGCAAGGGTGTCTCAAGGGTGATCTGCGCATTTCTTCTCATCCGCCCAAGAGTTTTTGGGTTGGACTTTTGCGGGGCTTTGGGGTGGCAGCTCTGTGTTGCAGGATGCCTTTGCGCAAGGCGCAGCATGGATGTGGCTGCAGACTGCATTCGCGAGTCCTGTGCAGTGCGGCGCCCGGAAACTAGTTGCCAGTGAACTTGTTAGATTGGACGCATGTTGTGCAGCACTAGGGGGGAGACTTGCCAGACAAACCAAAATTATCCCGGCAAGCGACCCCAAACATTGCTCAAACAGTGAGGCAGGACCCCCTGCAAGTAACATGAAAGTAGTCGTAGCAGATGCACAAGGGTTCCTGTAGAAGGTCTTGCGAGCGATCTTCAAACAGAAGCCTTCTGAAGCTCCCTGAAAAGTGCTCTTGTGGAAAAAGGTTCCGCGCAAAAGTTGTCTCGAAGAAATTCTACTAATGTTTCTTCAAATTCCTGGACAATATTTCTGCGGAAGGATCTTTGCAGGATCTGGGGTAGGGTCTCTTGATAGGATATCTTGGCGAGATTTGTTTGCAGGATCTCCGAGACAACCCTCTCCAAGCTCTCTCTTCAGGATCTGTAGAGTTGATATTAAATCTTGGCAGGTCCTGCGCAAGATCTGGAGTGGATCCCTATGCAGGACCAGAGCAGGATATTTGTGGGGGATCTTTGCAGGGTCTTTGCGCAAGATCTCTGGGTAAGTCTTTTTAAAAGGTGCTCTACAAGACCTCTTGGGTGGATGCTCTCCGCGAAGGACTGGGAGAGGATCTCTGCGCGAGATGTCTGGGCAAGACTTGCGCGCACGGTCCACCAAAGAGTCATTTATATGCATTT